GGAGTGGAGATAATGGTGTGTTTATATCAGTGTCATATAAGAGCATCAGCAGGAAGGGACAGAGTAAGGCGTGTTTGTTTGGAAATAATGATCAGTCCTGGAGTTTGCACTGCAATCCCTCCAGATATTTATTCAGACACAATAACGTGTTGACTGATCTCCCTGTAAAGTCCATCAGCAGTAGAATAGGAGTGTTTGTGGATCACAGTGCAGGAACTCTGTCCTTCTACAGCGTCTCTGACACAATGAGCCTCATCCACACAGTCCAGACCACATTCACTCAGCCGCTCTATCCTGGGTTTTTGGTTTCTAGGGGATCAAGAGTGGAACTGTTGATGAATCAGAATAGAACTGATGAGGGATTCTACCCATAATACTTCGAGCTGCATGATAAATCAATAACAGAGATGTTATAGAGTCTCTTCTTTTCTCTTCATGACGTTAATACTGCAGATGAACTTCTGTCAGTGAAATAACATGTAAGAATAAATGTGTGTAATAAATCCTCATATAGACAGTAAGATCAGATGTGTTTCTGTACTTTTTATGTGTATCAGTGAAATTACTTTTCAATTCAAATGTTCAAAGTCAATAAATAATTTTCATTATTTACATTCTATAGCTCTGGCCCTCTTCAGTGTTTTGTGTTCTTCTGTGTTCCAGTGTCACAAGTCAGTGTTTTTAGTCGCACGTCCTGATTTTACTGAGTTAGATGTGTTCCTAGGTCAACATATTTTGTTGACTCTGAAACAACATTTTAATCCAAAAATAAAGTCTTGACCATATCCCTACACCTAAACCTAACCTTAACCATGAGTAATCCCTAAAATCAGAGGAAATGATAGATGAATGACGCTGACGTACAAGCACCAAACACTGATTGTAAGCCTAAACTTCACAAAAACTATAAACTGGTTCTTCAAATCTGATTGGTTAATCACAATGTTGTTCCAGGGTCAACAAGATGATCCAGGTAAAATCAGGTTCTGCGTTTTTTGTCATGCATTTAATTGTTAACCATGGAATTCATCTGTATTTGTGTGTGAGTGTGTTTTCTGCTCACCTGTTCATCTTAATGTTCAGGTTTTGGAAGATTTTGTCATTTTCTTCCTGAATCTGAAGGGAGAATTCTAATAGCACTAATAGCACTGATCTAAAGGTTTATTTCAAGTTCTTTACAATGCCAGTGGGTTAATATTTGGTTGATGTGGTTGATGTTTTAGTTTCTGAGGGCTGTGTGGCACTTTATATTCAGCGAGCGAAGGTGCATTTGATTAAGGGGTAATACAGATAAACGGATAAATCCAGATGTAATACGGATAAAAAAATGATAAAGCTTGTCTTATTGAATATCAGGTCCCTTTCTACGAAAGCACTTTTGTAAACGATATGATCACTGATCATAACCTAGATGTGCTCTGTTTGACAGAAACCTGGCAAAAACCTGATGATTACATTATTTTAAACGGGTGTACCCCCCAAGATTACTGTTATAAACATGAGCCACATCCAAAAGGTAAAGGGGGAGGTATTGCTACAATTTATAACAATATTTTCACTATTTCTCAGAGGGCAGGCTTCAAGTATAACTCGTTTGAATTAATGGGCCACACAAGGATCCAGCGGCTTCTCGGATGGACATTGGCCAGGTATGGATACGGCAAGTATATTGTTAGCCCTTAGACAGGGCACACAATCGCTGGAAGGCTATATTCAAGAGTATTTAGCCATTGTTCATTATTCAGATCTGCCGGACTGTGTACTGTTAGACTTTTTTTGCGAGGGTATCAATGAACCTTTGAAGACACTAAATGGCGGACACAACAGCGCCCCGTTATGTCACAGCTGCCAATCCTGAATCAAGTCAACTCACAGCTGATCTTCATGAGTCAAGTCAAGTCCCAACTGATCTACATGAGTCAAGTCTAGTCACAACTGATCTTCATGAGTCAATCTGTGATGTCTCCCGAGGTGGCGGCTGATGCTGCAGATCCTTCCGAGGTAGTGGTGCACGCTCCCATGTTCCCCGAGGTGATGGCGCCCGCTTTAGCTTCTCCAGAGGTGGCGGCCCATGCTGCAGAACCTTCCGAGGTGGCGGTGCTCACTTCAGCTCCTTGCGCAAGAGACCCGCCCGGAAAATGGAGCGCAGCTGGAGGAAAACAAAACTAGAGGTATTTCGTATTGCTTGGCGGGAAAGTACCCTATCCTACAGAAAAGCATTAAAAATGGCTAGATCTGATTACTTTTCGTCTCTTTTAGAAGAAAACAAACATAACCCCAGGTATTTATTCAATACAGTGGCTAACTTAACGAAAAATAAAGCATCACGAAGTGTTAACATTTCCCAACATCACAGCAGTAATGACTTTATGAACTATTTTACTTCCAAGATCGATACTTTTAGAGATAAAATTGTAACCATGCAGCCGTCAGCTATAGTAACGCATCAGATAGTGTGCTATAGATCCCCTGAGGAACAATTCCACTCATTCTCTACTATAGGAGAGGAAGAATTGTATAAACTTGTTAAATCATCTAAACCAACAACATGTATGTTAGACCATATTCCATCTAAACTACTAAAAGAGGTGCTTCCAGAAGTCATAGATCCTCTTCTGACTAGTATTAATTAGTCATTGTCATTAGGATATGTCCCCAAAACCTTCAAACTGGCTGTTATTAAGCCTCTCACCAAAAAAACACAACTTGACCCCAAAAAACTAGTTAATTACAGACCGATCTCGAATCTCCCTTTTCTGTCCAAAATACTAGAAAAGGTAGTATCCTCACAATTATATTCCTTCTTAGAGAAAAATGG